ACAAGAGGCGGAGTGCAGAGTAATATTAAGAAGTTTAGTTGCCAAAATATTAAGATGATCGTAAACATCTTCGATCAATTTCCACCATGTCTGCGGTGTTTGGCAATCAGGTTCAAATGGACCATCAAAAGGTAGCTCATTTTCTTTATAGGAAACAAGTTGTCCTAAAAGTTGTCGGCAAGAGCTTTCACTTTTACCAAAAGCCTTCCACAAAGTACTTGCACATGTTGCGATTTTTCTATAATGACCTCTTTTAAAACCGCGACCTGATATACATATACAAATATTTTTTAAAATATAATAGATTTTAAAATAAGCGTTATATTAAGACAACTAGGTGGCAAAAAATAAAATAAAATAAAATAAAAATCAATGTTGTAATGCACCGCCTTTAGTACCCAGGACTTATATATTACCTTTAAATTTTGGATGCAAAAAATACGCCAAATGATATAGATCATCATTAAACTCTAAAATCGTTTATTTATAGAAGTAATACAATGTTTTCGAAAAGTAACATGTTGGCCCTGAGGTATTCGATAAAGCGTAGCTGCCAATTTGATTAAATGAATAAAACAATCTGCGAGTGTCGAATCCCAGCTTTCAAGTTGAATGATAGATTCTTTAATAGGCCATAGAATAGTAGTCATAAAGTATAAATCGTCATAAAACGAACCTCTATTTAAAATCTTATATACTTCGTTATTTGAAATAATTTCCGGATCATGTTCTAAAATCTTTTTGTAAATATATTAATAATTAGTTTTACATTATAGCGAAGTTGTTAAGAAAAGAAATTATTTTAATATATCGATAGCTTATTGTAATAACAGCAAGTTGTATTTACTTTTAATATTAATTAAATCAACTTACTCAAACAAATGCAACTTTTAAATGCAATATTGAATAAATTGTATCATAATAACTCGACCAACGAGTTGCTACATATCGTTTAATACCTCCTCCTACAATAATATTAATCTGAATTTCATGTTCAAGTGCTGAATTTGCTATGTGAGATGATTTAAAAAATTGCGCAATTAATGTTGCTTGAGATAAAACGCGTTTTGAGAAAGATTCTTTCATAATATCTTTACAAATAAGATTTAGCCGATGGGCTATACACGATACATTCATTATTTGAGGGAATTTTTGTGTGATTAGACGTCGTGCTGCTGCAACGTTTGAACCGTTATCACTAACCACCGCACAAATTCTTTTAGTTCCAATTTGAGTAATAATTTTTTCAATTTCTTGTGCAAGAAATTCTGCTGTATGATGTGCATCCGAATAGTTATATAAAGCATACAAATGTTCTTTTCTGTCAGGTATTAAAAGTAAAAAATTCCAAATTGATCGGCCTCATGGATCTGTCCACCCGTCAAGTGCTATAAAAAATAAACTATTATATATCTAAGCTATGAAAAAAATAAACTTAATATTATTTGTGCGACGGCAAGAAAAAACCTGTAAATCATATACTTTTTAAATATTTACTTTCAATAAAAATATCTTAAAATCAAGTAATTGAACGCTTAAGATTTTAATATGTTTAAGAAACATGAGTTTCGGGTTTTCTCTCGCCGTCACTCATTCACATACCGAGGGTAATGTAATTTTTACTTCGTAATTCACTTTCCATTTTCACTTCTACTCAAATAATTTGTTTATTAAAAATTCTTCCAGCAAGTGTTTTGGGAGTAGGTACTTTAAAACCTGGTCCAAGATTCTGAAGCCATGCATGAACATTTTCATTTCCAGCAACATTAAATGGGATACCCGCACAAACAAATGCAAGACACATGCTATCCTCCAATTGTTCTTGTCTTTTTATGGATAGTTCTTCATTTTCAACCAATTTAGGAATTTCTTCATTATCTTTTAAATCCGCTTTTCGCTTCTTATTTGATGTTTGATCTTCATTGTCTTCATTTAATTGTTTAAAATAAAAAAGTTGTGCTTCTAGTGGAGCATTAGGACAATTACGTGCAATATGCATTTTAAAGGTTAATAAATCTCTGCGTGACCACTGTTGTGGACAGTGTTTGCAACTAGCTGAATAGTGGCCACTTTTTTTTTTCTATCTGGTTGAAATGATTTCAAACAGGATCAAATGGTCGCCCATATGCTTTTCGTTGTTTATCATTACTAGCTTTTTCAGAACTAAGAGTTGAAGTAGATTCTTCATCATCGATATCATTAGACGAAGACATTTTTGAAGCAAAAAAGATTATCGTTACAATCTACAATAAACATAAAATTTTTATGTTGATCATAGATTA